TCACAGGAAGGGTATATGATGATGTTTTTAGAATGGCTTGCCCAGGAAATGGAAATGGGGTATCTCAGGAGGGAAGGTTGGGGAGACTCTCTTTTATGCCTTTCAAATTTTGAATCATACAAGTAACCAGCCTATTGAGAGCGAAAGAGGAGGCTCTGGGCTGTGTCATTCAATGGTTTCTTTTTACAGGTGAGAAATCCAAGGCCCAAACAGTGCAGATGACTCCCTGCAGGTGTGCAGTTGCTGTCAGAAGTCAGAACCGCTCTTCCGGCCTATTTCAGGGATAATTCCCAGAGAGCGGGAGATCCCTGGCAAAGTTCACCATGGATATTCAGTGGCCCACATCCCAGCCAGCTGATCTCTTCCCCAGTTTGCTCTGCTCACTTCCTCCCAATCATTATGTTGAGTTTGGCTTCTATGTCTGTTGATGGAATGGTGTTTGCCAAATCACGCTGATGCTCAAACATAAAGGCAGGCCCAGGAATGAGGAGGATGCTTGAATTAGTTATGGCAACTCTGCTTTCATAGGCAGCTCCTGTTAGTGTTTTAGCCCCAAATGCTGTGCAAATGAAATCTCAAGCCCATAGACTCCGGTGTCCTTTCAGAGCTCAACAAATCAAATTTGCACTGAGAGTACCGGTTTTCCACCTGACTTCAGGGCTTGTTGGGATCAAGAAGTGAGTGTCTGAGAACTAAGGTCCTTGAGTCCTCCCAGAATTCCCTGCATCTGGGAGAAATATGGCTCCTCAGGGCATTGTTCATGTCCAGAGGTTCCTGTGGTTTGATCCAACTCATTTTCCCTTCATGGGTGTGGTGGGTTGAAAAGTGGCCCTCCAAAATATATGTCTAACCCATTTGGAACCAGTGAATGGACTCTTGTGTGGGAAAAGAGTCATGACAGATATCAGTAGGGATATTGAGATGAGATTATCCTGGACTAGAGTTGGTCCTCAACGCAATGACAGGCCTTTTGAAATGAAGAGAAAGGGATATAAATACAGAGACATGGAGGGGATGGCCATGGGGCAACAGAGTCAGAAACTGGAGCCATGTTGCTGCAAATCAAAGTCATCAGGAGCCACCAGAAGGTGGAAAAAGCAAAAGAGTCTCCTTTAACATCTTTGGAGGCACTGTGGCTCTGTCAACACCTCAACATCCAACAGAGGACTTCCAGGACAGGGAGCGGGTAGATCCCATTGTTTTAAGCCATCCCGTGTTGCTATAACAACCCTGCAAACTCCCACAGGGGCTTTGAGGGTTTCTTCTTCCTGTCGAAAGCCCTGGCACAATCCTGCCTCCTCCACCATTGCCCCAAAGACCCCTGACAATGACTTATTCCCACCCTTTTCCTTCATCCAGCCATCAGTGAAGTGTACCACGGACCAGGTATACCAAAGTGGATACAAGGCAGACCTTCCTTCAAAAATTCACAACTAGAAAGATATGAAGGTGTAAACACATAGTCACAACATCAAGTGTTTCAGGCTTAAGTGGGACACACACACCCACACACACACACCCACACACACCCGCTGCCAGACTCATAATCCCCAGGACCTACCTCCTAATGGGACCATGTTTGGAGATAGGGTCATGGAAGAGGTAATTAAGTTAAAATGAGGCCATAGGATGGGCCCGAATGCAGAATCCCTGGTGTCCCTGGTAGGAGAGGCAATGAGGACACAGACATGTACAGGGGAAGGTTGTGAGAGAGGACATGGCCATCCACAGGCCAAGGAGAGAAGCTCATGAAGAACCAGCCTGCATCCTGGACTAGTAACCTCCAGTGTGGCGAGGATTCATTTTCTACTGTTTGAGCCACTCCACTGCAGCATCGTGCCATGGCAGCCCTTGCAAATGGGCACATGGAGATCAGGGCAGGGCTCACCTCCAGCCTTCCTGAGGGGTGACTGCTGGGCTGCATCTGAAAGGACAGGTTGCCCCAGGAAGGGGGTTGGGAAAGGGAACAGCTCTGCAAAGGCCCAGAATCAGAAACGCCTGACAGGTATGTGGAAGATGTTCTTCAAGACAGGTGGGTGAGGACTGGTGAGCCAAGAACCCATGAGGAACAAGAGGGCCTTATCCCCCGGCGGGCAGAGGGAGCCACTGCACAGCTGGAAGGAGGGCTACATGGCCAGATGCTCCGGGGGAGCTCATGTGGACCATCCTCGAGGCTGGTGGGACTCCGGGAGGGGTAAGTGTCCAAGCAGGTGGGCACCAAGTGGCTGTGGTCAAGCCCATCGGAGCTGAGATGAAGAGGCAAGGATAGTTTAGGAGGTGAGGTTGTCTGTACTGTGGGAAGGTAAAGGAGAACCAAAATCTAAGCTATTCAAATAGTTTTGGTTTGTACTGTTAGTGACACTGGCCATCAGGTTGGTGGATTAGCTGTGGCTGAATGGACATTTAGTTATCAGGTTCCCAGGAACCAACATCCAAACTTACGCTTGGCAATGCCATGGGCCTCGGTGTGGGTATTTACTGTGGAGCACCAGTTCCCCCCTCTGCCCAGCTGCCCTCCTCCCCAAGTGATGATGGGGAACGCTTCTCAACCTTCATCCTAGAGGCATTCTCTGGACACTGAAAGGCTCAGAGTGAACAAAGTTGAGAAGCCGGTCACACCATGACACATCCACTGCTCCCACAGGGCACCCAAGCAGGGCACAAGGGCTGCGTAGCAGCCACAGCTAAACCTCTGAGTGCTCTGGGATCCCCCCAGATCGCCTACATAGCAGACATTGCATAGAGTTCCGGGATGATCCCGAAGCTCCCGGGGCACAGTGGTGAACGTCCTATGGCCCAGGCCACCGGTGCCACCACACAGAAGAGTGCCCAATGCAGAGCCCAGGGTCTCAGCTGGCAGCTTCTGGTTTTCAGTGTTCTTGTGGCAGCCCCAGGATTCTGTGACTTCATTGATGGAAGGCACTAATATACCCAGAAAATCAGTAGACTTGAGCACTTAGGAAACAATTTAGGGCAAAGCTGGGTCTTGTGTCCCAAGCACTCTAATTAAGAAGAAATTTATGACAAGTACAGAGATCTCGGTTTACACTTGGTGGTGGTTTCATTTTCACATCCTTTGCTGGTGCTGTGAGGGAACCAAAGGACCCAGGGGACTGATTGGTGGCAGACATTTCTGAGGGTATCTTTGACATGTGATGTGACAGCAGGCTGTTCTAGAGGATCGTGAGACAGGAACCTCTGTGTTCTCCTCACAGACATTCAGGTATGTAGCTTTGGGGTCATCTGGCCGGACTGCCGCAGGCCCATCCAAGCAGTTTTTACAGCAAACTGCACTAAAATAACAATAATTGGGACTTCATGCTGAATTCACATATTTCCCTTCACCCCCCAAAATATAAAATAGCCGGATATGCCTAGAGATAATCTATACACAGCATCACACTGGCTGGCCTGTCCGTTAGAACTGTGTCTGAACGGAGCTACGCATCTAAATATTTGGACATGCCCAGGATCAACGAAACACAAGGAATTTACACTGAAACCCTCGAACTAATCTTAGAATGGAGCTCAGTGAGGATGGATGGCTCAAGCCAGCCCGACTGGGCAGGTGGAAATGCTTTCTGATTGCTTATCTATCATCCAAAACAATGCTTTGCTCATTATCTCCTCCTCAAAATCGCTCTGCTACCCTCCATGGCCTCCAGGATGCTTTCGTGCGATTTATCCATTTTCACCTCCAGGGATAAATCTCTGCCTCGAAGGCAGGCAAACTAAACACATTGCTTATGGAAACTCCCAGGGAGGACTCTGGGGACAGGCACCTGATCCACATTGGTGATGTGAATGTGGAGAACGGAAGGGTGCACCCGCGAAGGGTGGCCTCCCGGGAACCTTCCCTTATTCCTCTGTGCACACTTGGTCTTGCTCCCCAGCTCCACAGTCCTCCCCCTTGTTTTGGTTCCATCTTCTACGTTTCTTATGAGTTACCAAGGGCAAATCTGTCTCGTGCACTCTAGGGTTGGTTTATTGAGGGCAAGAGCTGCATCTTATCTCTCCTTCCCCCAAAGCCTGGCACCATGCCAGGCAAAGCTTGTCAGGTGCCCAAGTACAAGCCAAGCACTGGGCTGGGTGCTTTTAAAAGACCTTGCAGTAGAATAAGTAAGACACAATTAACACACAAAGTACCCAGTAGAATATATTAATGTATTCAATGAGTAAGTATATTTCATTGGAAGTATTATTGGAGGTCAATAAGAGAAAAAATGAGGATGGTCAAGCCTTTTTGTAGGTTCATGAAATAATCATTTTTATTAGCAAGAGATAGAAGTATTTACTGATTCACAATAAAGAATTTAAGTAAAGATGAATATTGTGTGCTTGGGGGTGTTGGAGACAAAGAATCTGCCAAACTGACTGATAAGAGTGATCACTTAGCCCTGAATCTCATTTTGATAACATTCCCAATGGTCATCTTTATGAAGCCACAGGTCTAATGCCAAGGACACCAGAGTTCTTTGTTTCAGTATCACAAGCATTAAATATTAACACGCAGTTCATATCTTAATACCACTGAAACCATTTTACTTCAGAATTTTAGTCCCATTGGAGCCGGAAGGGCAAGCAGGGTGACAGAGATGGCCTTTATTGACCACACACCCGAAGCATCTGTGGCCTCGAAACCCTAAGGAAACCGCAGCTCCTGGCCATGGACCAAACTTTCTCCCAAAGTCTTGATTTCACTTTTAAAGATTATGTTGATGGCGGAGATTTAACCAGGCAGGAAAATGCACTGAATGTTTGTCCCAAAGGTGAAGGCTTGAACAATGATATTCTACTCACCCACACAAACTCTAAAAAAAGTGTTTTCCCCATGGTTTATAAAAGTCAGTGATTAGGAAACACTTTAAATGCACTTTCGGATTCTTGTAATCTTGAGAAGCCCTGGGATGGCTGATCTAATCCACCCCTGGTCCTCAAAGCAGAATAATGCACCAGTTATGCCACCTACATATCCCATGTGCCGCCAGAGCCAGCCTTACCTTTACAAACAGGAAGATCTCAGGGCTCCCAGGAGCAGCTTCATTTCCTTCCAAGCCCTCATCTTCAGAGAGGCAGGTGGGGGACCACCTGCTGGAGAAGTCCCAGCTGTGCTGGATGGTGAAGCTGGAGGAGGACAGCAGTGTTTCGCTCCCTGTGTTGCTGTCTTCCTGGGGTTGTGCTGGTTGGGGCTCCGGGTCCTGAGCTGGTGATGATAACTCATCCATTGCGATGTCCCTGTCCTGGGGCTCAGGACACACCTCATCAGGCAGGAAGTAGCCTCCTGCCTCTGGATGGGGAGAGGCCAAGCCGTTCTCTTCACCTCTAATGGCATAGACCGACACCGAATCATATTCCTGGTTGTGTAGCCCAGCAGTGGACAAAGCGTATTCTGGCCCTATGTCTTCACGAACATCATGATAATAAGGACTTTCGTCATCCTGTGGTGGGTCTGCAACTTCATACATGCCTGGTTCCCGAATCATGTCGTACATGTTGCTGTAATCCTCCTCCTCACTCATGTTGATTGATCCGATCGCAACAGGTCTACGGGCTGGGGGTGCTGTGGTGCCTCACAGAGGAATTGACGGGGTTTGGAATGCAGGGACTAGCAACAGCCATCAATGACAGGTCTCTAACAATCATTTACCGAGACTTTAATATGCAAACCACAGTCCATTGGACAGACGACAAAGCTCACACAACTCAGTTAACTCCTTTGCGCCTAAACATATTTTCGACTGGACTATGGGATTTTTTCTCACTGCCAGTAATTTCCTGGTCCTGTGGCAACACTGAAGGTTGAATTGGATTGTTCTCCCAGTGTGCACTGAAATTCTGAATAGTGAGCCATTTGTCACTAGTAGGGCTCGCTCCTGCAATTGTCTCCAAACACTGGCAGCTTGAAGAAGTCCCTGCAACTCTACGGACAGCTATACCTCTTCACGATGCCAATCCATCTCTTTTATTGCCAAATTCATCACACAGAACAACTCCTTGCATATGGACACCTTGTGATGAATGAGCTAGACACGCTCCAGTTAGGTAGCAGATTCCATTTACTTCTCTTATCTGGAAGCAACCAGGTGGCTAAATGGCAGAAGGAAAAGAAGATAAAGGCTCTGGATTCTGGGGCCATTGCAGAGTATGACTTGAAAATATGTGGATTGATTTTTATTCCCCCCTAAATATCTGTGTTCATCACAGTCAGCAAACATTCTAAATCCTCTTATGTACAGGATATTGAACTGGGCACGACTTAAAACAGGCCAAAGAAGCAGTCTCTATCCTCAAGGGGATTTTAAATATGATTGGAAGGCCAGGAAGAAAAATAAAGTCTTTAGTGGACAGAGAAAACCCTGCTGAAGATTTCTCAGTGCCTTTGGCCAGGTCGGGAGCTGGATGTGTCTCCCTTTTACCTGTCCATGTCTGTGTCCCTACCCCATCTCAGGAGCTCCTATCTCTTGGAAGGACAGCTCTGGCGGTTGTAAAGGGACTTCAGTCCCTAAGAGCACTGAGTACCGAGCAGCACCGGGACCCTGGATAACAAACTGCAAAGCATTTGATGGGCATCCTGTTGTCAAAACTCGATTCACTCTTCAGGCTCCTGTATTGCACCTGGGAATCTCCTAGAGAGAACATGAGCAGCATTTTAAAAACTCTAGCTTTGGGGACAGCTTAAAGAATGGGTACAGGGAAAGAGGTCAGTTATGCACACTGGCCTTTTATCTTATTGCAAAGGGAAGTTGATGGGTACAAATATCTGATAAATACCTTGGGTTCCATATCAGTCATTTACAACTGAATGACCCCAGCACACATTTTCCTCATAATCTTAGAGCTGGAGATGACCCAATAGATCATTGAGTCAAGGATTTTATTTCACTTTCAAAAGTCACCTGGAACCCAGAAGCAGAAGTGTCTGGTCCAAGTTTCTACACAGAGTTAAAGACAGAGCTGACACCAACTATGCCTCTCAAACCCTAGCTCAGTGCTCTTTCTGCTACTCCTTACCTTCCTGTCCCTCACCATTTTTTCTTGATGACACACACCCTGGCTACTCCTACCCTGACCGTAAGATTTTCCTTTACCTCTCAGGACCCAATTGTGACCTCTCTGGGGATGAGGTTGCTCCTTTGGGTGATATGTGTCTGCTCCTGAAACACTGGAACATGTGATTCAGGGTCTGGCCCTGACGCAGGCCCTGAACTCTGCCACTCAGCATTGTTACCAGAGAGCCATTATCCAGGGCGTGCACACATGTAGAACACACTCCTGGACTCTCATGGACCCAGCTGAGGCTGATGTAGTTTAGGGCCCAAGGTCTCATAGGCTATAAATCAGGTAACCCTGTTATCTCAGAACACACCTGTCAGGACTGAAAGCCCAAGCTGTAATACGCAACAAGCCATTCTGTCAAAATGTAAGTCAGTTCCTATCACTGTTCCACACCCGCAATGGCTCCCCATTTCTCGGGGTAAAATCCAAAGTCCTCACGGTGGCCAAGGGCCCTGCATAAAACCTGCCTCCTGCCCCAGCTGCATAAAACCTGCAGCTGACCAACTCCAGCTTCTCCGCTGTGCTGGAATGCACAGCTCCGGAGCTCCGCAGTTAGTTCCTCCCGTGCGTGCCTGTGTGTCTTACACATTCCTGTCTCAGGGAGGCCGCTCTGGCCCTATGGTTAAAAATGACCGCCCAGCCACCCATTCACTTCAGCCTGGGCACAAAGAGGGAACAATGTAGGAGACACCTGGGGACTGGTGGGTCATCGGGGACTCTGCTGTCCCTGGGCACGTACTGCCTCCCCTCCCCCTCCCAGCTCTCTTCTCCTCTTACCACCACCTGTGTGTCCTTTCTTTTTGCCCTCTTTGCCCTGCTCAGCCCTCTCAGTGTCTTCATGATTCTTCCTGATCCAGAATCTGCCACTGTAACCCACCATAGGAATAGATCTACAACAGTTTAGATCTACGATGTCCTCTGTAAGTCTCCTGTTCTCTGTGCTGATGGGCTTTGGCAGATCACGAAGGCTCTAATTTTATTAAGTGGGTTAATCCATTTAAGAGTTCATAACTCAGTGGGCTTATTGGGAGGCAGGGCACAACTGGATGATGCAGGTCTCTGAGCAATGATTTTCAAGGGTGGCCTTTGTCCCAAACCCCTTCTTCTTGGGCTCTTTCCTCCTTCTCTGTTTCCTGGTCACCACGAGGCTTTTTTGCTGTACCACATCCTTCTGCCATGATGTTTCTGCTTTGGAGCCAGCTTACCATGGACTGAAGCCTCTGAAACCATGAGCCAAAGTAAATCTCTCCTCCTTTATGTTGTTTGTGCTAGGTATTTGGTCCCAGCAACCAGATGCCAACACTGTTTCTCTTCATAATATCTACATGCATCTGATCCCCACATTTTACCCCACTTCTTCATTTCCCAAATTCCACGTAGTCATCATATCCAGGTTGGTTGATAGACCTCAGTCCTCTCTTAGATTCTATATTGGTAAGAGGTCTAGGAGGAGCCCAGGTGAAAGCTATTTATGACATTTCATTACTATGAGACTATGAAGAAAGCAAATAAGAAAAGGAAGAAACTTTAGCCAAGTATGGGCAGCGTGGCAAGGTCATTTCAGATAATTTAATAAAGAATTGAACACACACCAATATCATGTTAAGGACGACATGATGTGTGTGCCTCAGGCTGGGCCTTGTCCTCTCCCTGTTCCACTGCTGGGACTGCCCAGTCCCACGCATGCTCTCAGGGGAGGGTGGCATCCAGCTGTCCCATCTTCCTTCCTCACTGGGGTAGGCCTGGCATCCACCTCTGCCGTGGCCCCAGGACCAGGCTCCCTCGCTGATCCCTCAGGAGTCCCATGTAAGCCTCAGCTGACTGCCCCACCCTCAAGTTCCTCCACAGCAAACACACACTTGGCTTGAAATTTGATCATGGCCGCAGAAGAGCGACCTGGTCACCTAAGGGTATGACAGAGCTGAGCATTCCTACTGCTGATGACCTCACAGCAGCACCCCTTCCCCATGGGAAATCAAGGCACAGCCTCCAGCTCTTCAAGCCTTGGTTCCCCATTCTGTACAAACGGAGGACCCTTCCTCAGAGCGCTGGTGAGCAGTGAATTAAAAAATATGGAAACAAAGTCTTTGTAAATAGGGGAGGAGGGGTTGAAGGGAGGCCAGGGGGATGGGGAAAAAAATAAGAACCAAGAGAGACTTTATATAAAGGTACAAACTCCCAATGATGAATGTCATTATATTGTATACCTAAAATGTACCAATGATATTAATTGTAAAAAGATTCCTAGCTTCACAAATGTAAAAAAATTAAAAGAAAAGAAAAACTATGCATCAGCTGGTTGTGATGGAATACATGGTAATCCTGGTACTCTGGGAAGCTGAGCCAGGAGTTGGCTGAGGTTCAAGCCAAGCTTGGGCAATTCAGTGATTTGGTGAATCCCTGTCTCAAAGTAAAAAATCAAAAAGGGCTATAGGTAGGTGTAGCTGTATGAAGGCCCTGGGTTCAGTCCCCGGAACTGCAAAACCAAAACCAAAACAAAGCCCTGTGTGTGAGATCTTGCAGCGGGAAAGATCATAAGGCTGAACTCAGTGTCAGTTTCCCCCCTCCCGCAAGCCTAGGGGGTCTGAGAGTTCAGAACAGAGGAATTCTGGGAGTGGGAGGGGTGATGAAATAACATAAGTGACCACAGCATGTACCACCTGAATGGAACCCTAATTCACATTGTATTTATAATTGTGCATTTGGGACTTCCTTTCTTCCTGCTCTAAATCATGATCATTACATTTGCATTTTGTGGAATCTCGGCCTTCCAAAGGCATCTCCAGGTGGCACTGTTCCGTGGGGTGCACAGCATGGGGCAGTGAGGCGGGCATCCCCAAATCCCCTTCAGACCTTCAACATGCAGTTTGCTGTCATCATACTAAAATTTTTTTACAATTTATGAGTTGTGACATAGCATATGGAGAGTCAGGGAGAAGGCCAGGCTTCTGGACCTGAACCAGAAGGTCAGACAACTCAGTGAGAATGAATTTCTGCACCTTCCAGAATGGAAACTGCTGGGTGATTTTGCACCCAGCGTCCACCAGAGAGCATCCTTGCCCTCCTCTCCAGAGCTGTGTACGCTATAGAACTGAGCAGAAATCGGAATTTACATATTTCTTGGTTTAGTGACTTTTATTTTATTTTTTCAATAGTTTTGCTTGAAGAACCCATGCCTTGAATCTAAACATATGTTAAAAATATTTTATCGGTGTAAGTCACATTAGCTTAGAGGTCTACTCCCCTTTTCCTTAGCCCCTACAGTTCATTGAACAATGCTTATATAAATAATAATATTTTTTTTTATTTCTTAGGATTGACAAGTTGTATATATTTATGGTGTGTAAAGTGATGCTTCGGTACCAATGTACCTTGAGTAATGGCCAAAGCAAGGCACTTAATATATGCATTACCACATCTTATTTTTGTGAGACAAGAATTCTTAAAATCGATTTGCCCATCAATTTTCAAATATACAGTATCTTGGCTGTTTTGGTGCCAAGGATCGAACCCAGGACCCCACGCATGCTGGGCAAGTGCGTCAG